TTTTGTTATCTTATTTTGAGAACCAGAAACTTCTTTGCTTTCTGTCTCTCACATCATCGCCTATCCCAATGGTTTTGAACCCCTCAGCACTGGGTTGACTGCACAATCATTATTTCTCTGTTTAATGCAGAATTTTTATAGTGAATATCTCAAAAGACAAAAGTGGAAGAGGAGTTTTTATGGATCTCTCTCTCTTTACCTTATAATATTCTTATAGCATAATAAAGCTTTCCAAGTTATAAAGTAGAATGCAACATGGATCCATGACCCTGCCCCTAGGTTCAGAACAACAGGGTGAAAGGATACCACAGAAGCCGCCTGTGTACACCTTCAACCCCTAGAGAAGTAGCCACTCATCCCCATGCCATTTTCTTATACCACATATGATGTGTAATTCCAGACTATATGTAGTATTGTTTTACTTATTTTAAAAGTTGGATAAGTGCTGTCATTTTCTTTGCTTTCTGCTGCAATTTGCTTTCTTTATGCAGTGTTGTATTTGTCAGATTCCTCTACGTTGATGGTAACTCTCATTTATTCATTTAAGCTGTTGTACAGTATTTCTTTGCGTGAAGATACCATAATTTATCCTTTCTCGTGTAGTAGACATTTACACATTGTCTCTCTTATAGACCATCTTGCCATCAAGGTTTCTATACATGTTTTACTTCACAGATCTTTGTCGGCTAGGTTTTGTTCTGTTTGTTTTTATACAGGAAACAAATTCTTTTTATCCTGGTCACATTTCGTGGGCCTCATTGTTTTCATCATAATAAGATTGAATAAGATTTTCTGTCTTTTTTAGCTCAAAATTATACTTTTTATATAGGGTATTTAAACTGGATAGTTTGAGTTACTGGATTTTAATTAGTATAATTTCCAGTCCCATTAATGTGTCTCTTTAGTATTTTTTGGAGGGTATAAATTTTACCGATGCAAGGGAATGTTCCATTTTGAACATTTTTGAGGACAAAAATATATGCGATATTGGAAATTATCATTAAGCATGAATGCATAAGACCCTCAATTTTTCTACCCAGTTATGTTTCTTTCCTGGAATGCAGAGTAATTACAAAAGCTAATCATTTAGGGTAAACATGACTATACACATACGTAAAATGTTGTCTACATGTAGATCAGTCCCTGTACTTGATTCCACAAGAGTTCTAGTCAAACTGAGTATTTTGTTTCCTCTTTAAACCATATGAGAATTCATATGGTCAAAGTATTCTACTGTTCCCTTTGCCTTTTTCTCTCTTCTGCTTCTTCCAATAAATGAAAGCCTAGTGTAAGGTTATGGAGAGCCAAAGTACTATAATGAAGAAAAAGGCACTAGAGAATCTGAAGCCATGAGAGATTAAACCTGACTCAAGGGCCTGGCCTGCAAAGGATTCTTGGGAGAAGGGGAATTTCAGCTGGGCCCTGAAGAATGAAGACCTTCTAGGTCTGTGACAATTAGGAGAAGTGGGGTCTCTCCAGATAGCCCATCTGCCAGCTGAATACCAGTAGTAGAGAGCCTGCTCATGCTGCCACAGAGAACAGAGAGGTGCTCCGCTCTCTCCAGGTTTCAGGCCCGGAAATTTGTGAGGTGTAATAAAAAATGTCCGTGTGTGTGTGTGTGTGTGTGTGTGTGTGTGTGTGTGTGTGTTAGAAAGTGATTTCTTTTTTTGTTAATAATTTTTTGAAACATTTTAATTTATTTGTGGGAGACCTAACACAAGCTGGGGAGGGACAGAGAGGGGGACACAGAATCCGAAGTAGGCTCCAGGCTCTGAGCTGTCCGCACAGAGCCCTATGTGGGACTTGAACCCACCAATGTGAGATTATGACCTGAGCCGAAGTCAGAGGCTTAACCAACTGAGCCACCCAGGTGCCCCCAAATTGTCCTTGTTTTAAGTCCTACATTTGGAGTAGTTTGTTATGCACCAATACCTTACAGGAATGCCAACGAAAACCAAGGAAGGGGATATGATATTTTTTGCTACTGTTTGGTTTGTTTTGATGCTTGCCAAAAACAGTGTTTAGTCATACAAAACCTCTTCCCAAAATATACTACTGAATGTAATTTAGAACTTCTAGCCGGAAAACAGAGTTTGGAGAGAATTCCAGGCAGAGGAAATGGCATGGACAAAGATAGCAAAGTAGGGAAGGAAGGGATATATGGAAGGCAGACAGTAATTAGTTGTGACTGGGAGTAGGGCATCTCTTGGTTAGTAGAGAATGACTAGACTAGAAAGGAAGATTAAGGACCTGGTATGAAGGGCCTTGAGTGTGAGGTTGAAGAGACTATGACATAGAGCCACGGAAGGCTTTTGGGAAAGAGAAGTTATACTTGGGGAACTCTTCTTTGGGAAACTTTTCAGATACTTGTGGGATGGACTCGAGTGTCGATAAATTAGGGGATCAGGGTGGAAGCTATTGCCAGATGTCATATGAGTTGGATTCGTCATGGCTGGAGCCAGAATGAATACTAGAATATAGGTGGGAAGCATTGTGAGCAGGGCTACCACTGACCCACTCAGTGCATTCTGGGAGTTGAAAAGGTGCCCTGTCTTTAAGACATTTTACTTCCGTATGTTAGAAAATTGTTGTAATATATTTACTTAATTAGAATAAGACACTTGACTGCCCTCTACTGGAAAATCAAACCTATACATCTATAATGTGAACACTCCTCCCTGCAGATGTGGCATTCTTGTGCAGTACACAACCTATACTACCATATCTGCAACCGTAATCACGTGGGTATGAGTGATAGAATGTGGTAATTGATCACATTAGTTATCAGAGGGAAAAGGAAGAAATTTCAAGTCTGGATGGTAGGGAAGTTGGTAATAATGTTAATATCACTGGAACTTATTCTTACGGAATAGGTTCATAAAACAGAATTATTCTAAACATGGAAAATTACACAAGTCCCTCATTTTGTTCATTGATCCTAGTACTTTGTATTTACACAGTTAGAATTCTATCTTTTCTTCTGGAGTCTTGCTTTCCACCCTTGCTAACATCCGAGAGTGGTTACCAATCACCCTGTCCTTTTGGGTTCCATATACCACCAGTATCTTTTCCTTCTTTACCGATCATTACTTCTCATTCTCCTTTGCAGGCCCTTTATCCCCCTCAGATTTTCATTCTTATGCCTTGGTATACAGTGGATGCACAATAAATGTTTGTTGAATTGAATTACATTGCCTTTGAAAGATCAGTTTCAGGTTTACCAGGAGACTGACTCGTTGGCGCTAGGGACTAAGGGTGTGCCAGAATTCAGAAAGTAGAAACATATCCTAAATGCAGCTCCTTGTTTGAGGATCTATTTTCTACACAATGGGTCGCTCTTTAATGGGAAATTCCTGTACTGTTGATCTGTTCATCATTGTTCAGCAGTGGCAACACCAGGAGAACAAATTATTTATACTGGCTGTGTCCTGTGGGCATGTCTAATTCAGAAAATACTTTAAAACAAAATAATGAAGCTTCCCTGTCTTCTAATTTGGGAAGAATTAAAAGTTACCTTTTTTTTTTTAAATCTCAACTTTTGTATAAATAGATTAGTGATGAGTTAATAAGCAAGACCACATTTAAATATTTTCATTTGTGGTTACTTGCTGACATTCTTAACCTCACCACCTCCACCTGCCCCCCAACACATTCACCTAGGTTACTTTTGCTTTCATTTTTCATGGGGCTTATATGCCAAGGCAGATCCAAGAACTTGGCTCTTCTGACCCAGCTTTGCAAACATGTATTGTGTGGCTGCTTTGTGCAAAGTGCTGTGGGAGCCTTCACGGAAGATACAAAGGTTTCAGATTGCTTCTGCCCTTCAGGAGAGACTGGCTTAATGGGAGAAGTAGACACATATGTAACTGCTCCGGGGCAGGCGATGACAAGGGTCATAATATAGTGCAGACAGAGCCAGGGCCCCCTGTGTAAACATCACTCTAAGACTGAGCCACATACATGGACTCGCCATATTTCTTGTCCAAATTATACACGTTTAACTCGTAACTTACCTGAGTTGGATTAGAATGTGTTTCCTTCAAAGATTCTGAAGTCAAAAGCATACTATGAAAATTAAGGTTTAGCAGAATTTAACTAAAAATACACTGAATAACATCACTTGATTCTTTTAATTTTTATTTGATTTTTAAGTTGCTTTTGAGTTGGTACTATCCAAAGAAATTAGAGAAAACTAGAGTGATATTAAATAAGCCAGACATTTATGTGATGTCTGATATCACATAATCAGTTTATGTGATAAAACCAGAGTTTTATGTTTATGTGAGCACAGTATAGAGGAAACAAATATCCTGAAATTCCCAAGCCAAATTATATTTTAAAATCCATTTTGAGTACAGGCAAAAGAAAAGTATAAACAGCACAGTAGGAAAAAAATAAATAAAACTCTCATAAATACAATGAGGTAGAATGTAAAATACTGAATGGGTTGTTGCTGTTTAATTAAGGTGCCTTATAGTTAAGTAAAACCAATGACCGTTTTTATAGTTATTGGAGGACCAAAGACATTTGAATTAAAAATTTTTAAATGTATTTAAGAGTTGAAATTTAAACAAAATGTTACTTTTGCGTTTTTAAAGAGAGTTCTTTCTTCTACATTAACTCAATCCCAAAGAAAAGAATGAGTGAAAATGAACCAAGTATGCACATTAAACAAAAATAAATGCCACTGAAAATCACTTTAACTTTTGTTTAAAGCTAGTCACAAAACTGACTGTATGATTTGTGTAATAGGTAAACAGTTCAGGTTTACCGACTTTACATGATGACTTGCAATTTTTACTTAAGAAATTCATTCTTCTTTTTTTTAATGTTTTTTTTTTTTATTTATTTCTGAGAGAGAGAGAGAGAGAGACAGCATGAGCAGGGGAGGGTCAGAGAGAGAGGGAGATACAGAATCTGAAACAGGCTCCAGGCTCTGAGCTAGCTGTCAGCACAGAGCCTGACGTGGGGCTCCAACCCACGAACCGTGAGATCATGACCTGAGCCGAAGTCGGACGCTCAACCGACTGAGCCACCCAGGCGCCCCAAGAAATTCATTCTTCTTAAGACAAACTGTAGCTTCACGAAGACATATTACCTAGTTTGCCTCTGCATTTTCATTTGGAAACCTAAAATCGGAAATGAACAGTGCTTCAACCAGTTTTATAGGTGAGAGTAAATTGGGAAGTATCTCAAATAGCGAAATAAGAGAAGTATCACAAAGATACCTAAAAAGGTTTAAGAGTATCACAGGAAATAGTAAGATAATACATCTAAGGGCAAGTAATCTGAAAGAGATACTCAATGGGAGAAAATGCTTAGTAATGCTGAAAGGGAGCCAACGTGCTATCAGACAGCAAAGTAGGTATAAGGTTGCAGTGGGCTTGAAGACCTAGTGCCATTGGGGGAGTCATCTTGTACAGTAAAAAGAGAGGAAGTAGAAATCTCTTACAGACTGACAGTATAAAGAATACATTTGTCCTATACCAACCCCAAAACTTCCAGACACAGCAGTCACCGATGTTTTGAGTAATCTGGAAAACAGAAATTACAGTTTTTAGAATAGAGAAGAATTGACCTCATTAAAAAAAAAGGTTTTAAAAATAAAATGTCTTGGGGCGCCTGGGTGGCTTAGTCGGTTAAGCGTCCGACTTTCGCTTAGGTCATGATCTCGCGGTTCGTGGGTTCGAGCCCCGCATCCGGCTCTGTGCTGACTGCCAGCTCAGAGCCTGGAGCCTGTTTCAGTCTGTGACTCCCTCTCTCTCTGACCCTCCCATGCTCACACTGTCTCTCTCTCTCTCCTAGAAATAAATAAAAAACATTTAAAAAAAATAAAATAAAATGTCTTACCTTTAAGTAGTAAAACAATATGAAGGTATGTGATGGATATAAGCAATTTGTTAAAGGCAAAATTGTTGAGATTAAATTGAGACCGTAGAAGCTGGGAGTAGTGTGAACACTTGAATAGGCAATTCGCAACATCTAGGTCAATTGTGCAGATTATAGTAGAGCATCATAGGGCAGTGCTGGGAGCTGGGTCACTTGAAGTAGGTTTGGAGTCCATGAAGAACTTCGCTAAGTAACAGTGCCAGAATCTATTAGAAACAGCGTGTTCTAACAATGAGGTCGTATTTCTACTGTTGTCTATACCGGTCAGATTCCTCTGCCTCATTGTTTACAATCTGTGGTTCAGTGTTTACAGTCTAGGACCATTTAGATGTCTTTGCCAGGGTACCTTGCCCTTGCTCTTAGCACCTTTTTTGATCTTGGCTTCTAGAATTTCTTTGACTGATTTAACCTCTTATCTCTGCAGCTGGCCTTCTGTTTGATTCCAGAGCACTTCCTTCCCTGTATACACCTGCTATTTCATCTCGGCACTGATCATATTTGTCTCCACCTGTCACTGTCTGCTGCTGGTGACCCACCTTTGCTCTAAATGTTACTATCGTTACTTTTAAGGACACACTAAATCCGATGTTGTATTGGCCTCTCGTACTTAAATTATTGAGGCTCTGTTCCCAGTCGTCTCATCCCTAATCCAACAAATCCACAGCTTTCCAATTAGGCTGGTGGGGACAGCATCTCACTGATCAAAAGGCTGAACTCCTAACCCTCCCTATATCCTATCTTTCACCACTTTGCCTTTTATGTCCCTCCTGTTTCTGTCCGTTTTCTTCTGGTAGCCAAATTCTTACCCTGGTCTTGAGATCTTTCTCTCAAAATATTCTTTTTGTTTCTTGCAACAATACTCGAGTGCTTGTTGATGATGATGATAATACTTAATAAACTGATACCATTGTCTCAGAAACTACTAGTGACTTACAAAACTTCTAACTTAGATTAGATTTGTTTTGATATCTTCTTATTTAAGCTCATATGAAAAAGGAAATTAGATACATTAAGCAAATTTAATAATATTTGCAGCTTCATATTAAAGCCCTAAAAGTTACCTTTTAAAATCAAAAAATTGTTTAGGTCATTGAATTGTTATCTTTTATTGAACTGTCAGTCATTTCTTGAGTTCCATCTCTGTGCCCAGGGGTAGAGCTAGGCCTGCACTGAGGATTAAGTAGACTTTGGCCTTAAAAGCTCACATTCTGGTTATGAGCAGTAATTTCGGTTGAGCGACTGAGAAATCATTCATACATTCAATAAATATTCATTGAGCTCCCAACTCTACCCTAGGCACCGTGCCAGGGAGTGGCATTCACCACGGTAAGACATGTAAGATCACTGGCCACATGATTTTCAATCAGCTGGGGAAACAGATCATTAGACACTAATAAAGTGGGAAGTCGAGAGGTATTGTGTACTCAGGGGCACTTACCCTCGTAGGTGAGCAAGCGGGAACTGGAGGAGGGACGATGGGGCTGACGTTGCAGACGTGGACTGAGAGCCCAGTGTGCTCTCAGAACTGAAAGAAGGTTGCTGGGAATTTACTGCGGATTCAGTTGCGGAATGGTGACTTTGACTGTTCAAGAGAGGAGGAAAGAGGGCTAGTAGCTGGAGAGAGACCTGGGGGTTCTTACAAGCTCATTTAATAGACACAGATATCTGTCTGGAGTTTTGGAAATAAAATCTGGTCCTACCCAAAATCTTGGAAATAATTCTTTTCTCCCTGTTTAGTGCCTTTGGGATATTTTTCTGAATACTTATTAAATTTGTAAGCCAAAAAAGTATTGTGTGTGTGTGTGCGCACGCGCACACACATATAAGTATATATATAAGTGGTAGAACAGTTCTCCTCAGTTACAAATTATTTTTCTAGTGAAAAGATAGTTTTAATCAGAATTACCCTTCTGGTCATTTGTTTGGCACAGACTCTTTTGTTAAGATCCAAAGATGGCAGTTAGAACCCAAATACAGCAATTTTTTTGTTTTAATAAAATTGTGATTGTGCCGTGGCATCAGATTATACCAGAGCAACCTTGCCAAGAAGCAGCAAAATTTGCTTGTCTTTTTTTTTTTTTCTACCAGGGTACATATGTAGTTAAACTCCATTTTTAAAAACAGTGGGTTTTTTTACTATAACTTCTTGCTTATCGCAGGCAAACTCAGTGACCTATTATTTGTTACTTGTATCTGCAGGCCAACAATTTATATTAGGAAGTAAAACTTTTACTATATAGCATTAAAGTTCATCTGATGAATAAACTGATACTGCCTCAGGTTTCAAACTTTGTCTGAGTAAAATAAGTCCTCGTGCAGTTCAGAAACAGTACAGCAGCTGCAGGTCCAGAAGAACGTGTGCTGTTACTCACATAATAAAAGAACCCCCAAAGCCTTATAATTTATAGATTCATAACCACTTCTCATTGAATTTATTCTTCTAAATGGCGCAGGTGCTACTTTGGTGTAAAACATACAACCCTCTTTAGGCAATCTAGAAGAACTCCAAGGTGCTTAATTTTCCCCCACCCCCTTACATTGGGAGCTGGCTGGTGTTAAGGATAAACTCCACACTCGTTTAAAGCTCAAAGGTGTGATTGTTTAAAAACTTAATATTCCTTTTTTATCATTTAAATCTATACGTAATTTCCTACAGACGTGTATTGGATCATTTATTTAGGATTTGGGCAGTTCCTTTGAAGCTCTATTGTTCAGTTATTAGAAAACATTATGATCTTGCCATGTTCTGTACGGGTCTAGATGTTGGTGATATGTTGATGAAGGCACAAAAGTCCCTGCCCCCATGGAAACTCACAGTCTGGTGCAATTGATATTTTGGTGGATTTTGTAAGCACCCTTGCCTATTCGGCTTTCACAGAACTTCTGGTCTGATGAAATCTAGGCGACTATTTCAAGTTCTGTCTTTTAAAGTCCTCTCCCTTTAAAACGATGGCATGAGTGTATTGCTTCAGAGGTGGCGGTGACTATCGTGAATAGCGAACATTCCAAGAAATTAAGCTGGTAACCAAAAGTAGGATTAAACAGAGTGCATTGTTAAGCACATTTATTCTAGGTTTCAACTCTAGGGTATTAGTCGTTGGCACTATTTCATTAATAAAGCAGCATTTTCACCAACTTTTGTAAGAGGATAAACAATTTTCCAGTAGATCATCAGTGGCTAATATGAATTCTACAGTAAAGTACTCAGCTCCAGATCATAATAACAATTACTGCCCCCCCCCCATAATAACAGTTTATACTTAGGTGCCAAGTACTCTTTTAAGAGCTTTACATAAATTGACTAGTCTAATCCTCGAAATAATGCTTTGAGGTAGATACTATTATTATACCTCTGTATTACATACGTGGAAGATCAGATTAAGTAACTTGCCCACGGTTACAAAGCTAGCAAGAGGCAAGGCTGAGATGAGATCCCAGGCAGTCTGGCTCTCAGCTCTGTGCTCTCCAGCTTCTCAGGCTTAAATATATGCTTTCTCATTCCCCTTCTTGCTTTTTTTGTGTCCTAGTAATTTGCTTTCTCTCAGATACGTAAATATTGACTTGAGTAGCGTACACACCGTGCTCTCAAAGTGAACCTGCTGATTTTTTTTTATTAGGGTTTTTTTCTATGTTCATAGCTATCCTGTGTTAAAAAGACTTTTTAAAAAAATTGTAAGTCCAGCAGATAGTAACCTGGAAGTTCATTTGTTTTGGTTCTTTATGGTTTTGCTTGTTTATTGGTTTATTAATGTGTTTTTTTAATACCTAGTACCCTGGCAGATTTATCACATTTTAAAATGAAAATTTAGTCAACTTCATGGCATACAAAACTTTATTTTTCTGTACCTCTGGAGAACAGGGGGGACAGAAAAGCACTCCTTGTTTTCCCATAAAGAGACAGAGCACAGTTTTGTCAACCTCATGTTCAGCTCACTGCAGTATTTTGGGTTACTTTTTATCTCTTTGGGTTTCCTGCTGGAGCAAGTATTTCTGCCATCCTGACTCTACACTCTATTGAATGTGCCTGTGCTGTTTGGCCCCTGGACCCCCTCCTCCCCTGCCTTGTGTTTCTGCTCCCCCTCCCAGGTCAGCTGGTGGCAGCTTCTGTGACAGGGCCTGTGTCCTCCTCGCAATCCGGAGGACTTGCTGCCTTCAGTGGGTCGGCTTCACTTTCTTTGCTGTCTGGTTAATGATTTACACTCCTTCAAGCCAAGTTGTGTGTGTGTGTGTGTGTGTGTGTGTGTGTCTTAGTTACACTGCTCAATGCTCAGGCCTAAGACGGTGCTAGATACATACTAGGGGGTTGATACTTGTTGAATGAAGGCACATTTATATTCTAATACTGTATTGTATTTAATAGTTTGTGCATGTATTTGTCCTTCCCCTTCTCCTCTCACTCCTCTTTGCATTTTCCCTGGTGTTTATAACATATTAGGTAGATCAGTAAATGTCCGTCTCTGTGGCACTGGATAGGGATGATTAAAGGGAGGGACGATAATGGATACAACTAAAAGGACCAGTGCACTAGAAATTTTAGAACTCTGAATCGAGGAAAGAACAGAAGCACCAAGACCAGATGTCCCCTTTCATTCATCTGTCCGGACGTTTAGCTTTTTTGCATGTCTGCATTTTGCACAGATACTCGTTTGTCTTTGAGGGTAACACGGTAAGGGAGTAGTTCTAGAGATGGAAGCCTCAGTAAAAACTCTGTAAATCCGCTTCTATCAATTACGGAGACCTTGGTGGCATCAACTTATATAAGCAGAAATCTCAAAAAAAAAAAAAGTGCTTTTTAAGATACAGTGAACTTTAAGTATCCTATGTTAAGTTTTAAATGGAGTCATGGAAACAAGGACCTCAGGAATAATATACAAGTTTATTACCTACCGTTGGAAGCCAGAGGACTTGAAGATACTTACTCTCTTCTCTTCACATGCCTCAGAAAACCTGCCTCATTCACAGGATGGTTTCCTACAAATCATATGATGCCTTCACCCATCAAACGCTTGTAGAGTGTGCACTCTGTACCCAGGTAGTTGTCTCGGTGGCCTCCTGACCTTGGCCAATCAAATTTATTTTGGAGTGTTGTTTTTTGTTTCCATAAAGAATGGAGGGAGGCGGAGAGGGACCGAGGGAGACATATTTACACGGAGGAATCAGCATGTCCGAAGACAGAGTTCTGACAGCACAGCATTGTTCTAGAAATGGTAGAGCATGTTCATGGTGATCAGAACATAGGGTCCAGGAGAAGAGGAAAGAAATTGCCATGGGCCTCGGGGAAGCAGAGCTATGTGGATGAAGGTGGATATTGAGAGCTGTTGGGGACTTCAAACCTATCAGCACAGTCCTCATACTTTCCGCTGGTCTCCTGCCCACCAGCATTCCTCTTACTGTGCTGATTAACTCTGGTACAGATTTATGATTTTCATCCTTAGCTCAGCGCTCAGAATGACTTTTTTCCTCTTAAAAAAATTTTTTTTTCTGAACATTTATTCGTTTTTGAGAGACAGAGACAGAGGGTGAGTAGGGGAGGGGCAGAGAGAGAGGGAGACACAGAATCCAAAGCAGGCTCCAGGCTCTGAGCTGTCAGCACAGAACCTGACACAGGGCTCCAACCCACGAACCAGGAGATCATGACCTGAGCCCGTCAGGCGTTTAACCGACTGACACACGTAGGCATCCCTCTTTTTTTTTTTTTTTTTTTTTAAATTTTCCAACCTGTTTTTAATGAGCTGCATTTTTTATTATCCATCGTGAGTATTCTGAACTGGAATAACTTTTCTCAGGAACCTCAGCTCTCTTGACCCTTTCCTTTTAAAGTAATGATTAATTGCCCTTGTCATTTATCTGAGGACATAGGTAATATCTGGCATGTGCTCCCTCAGCCTGCCTCGTCTTCACATCCAGACTTGCCTTCACCTCCAGCCATCCTTACAGTGTTTCTGCCTCAGAGGGAAGTATGTGTTCACTTTTTTCAGCACTGACTCCTCCCCCAGTGCTCTTGAGCTTGCCTTGGAATCTTTATTTCTTCCTTATTACAGGCTCTTTCCTTCTAGCTCATTAATACTCTTGGATGTCTCCTAGCCTTGAAACTCCATTCTTGGACTTTTCTTGTTTTCTCAAGAAGTCTTTTGTTTCTTATTTAAGCAAGGAAGGTGGTCTGAGTATTGAGAAAGATTACCTGGCAGTGAGGTGGAGGAGGAAGTCAAGGAAAGCAGAAATTTGAGAAAAGATCAATTACGAGGGTGTTGAAAATAGAGTGGTGACCGTGGGGAGGAGTGGTCAAATCTGAGAGGTATCGAGGAGGTTGAATTGACTAGACTTAAAATAGATAGGAGATTCAAGGGAGATGGAGAAACCCCTGATAACCACCAGGAGTGGGGGTGAATACAGAAGGAGGAGCATGTTTTACGGAGAAGATAATGCATTCTCTCTTGGAAGTGTTGGGGTGAAGTGCCCTTCGTCCAATTGGAGAAATTGAGTAGGCAATGGGAAGTATGGGAAGTATGATCTGTAGCTCAAGAAAAATGTTGGTTCTTTAGGAACAACATTGGTAGTCAAAGACATATTGATATATCTTGA